AAGGTGTTGTTTCTTTCGATCCCTAGGTTGTGGTTTAGAAGCACTTCATAGTTTGTTATCTAGAACTCCATTTTAAAGATGTAGCTACTGAATATCCAATAGTTGACTTAAGAAAAGTTCTTGGACATTATTTTCAAAGAGAAGGTTTGAGCTATTTTTTAAGAGTAGAGTAGGTTAAGTTGGGAAGCGTCTTTCTTGAGCTTAGCAAGCGGAAGGGGTTTCATCGGAGAGCAAACTCCCGAGATATTAGTGGCTTGATGAACTATCCCATTTATGAAGATTTGAATTGTCGTATGAAACAAATCAGCTGGTCCGAATCAATAGAATATGGAGTTGTTCGGATGATTACCCCTGCTGGGAATTTATTCATGCCAAAATGGGACTTCTTCGCCTATCAGTCGCCGAGGCACTTCTTTTTTTATTTTCTTGATCACTTTATCTTGATAGGGACATTTTATACTATAACTTTCCTCAACCCTCGCGCTAAGGGGACGCAGCTAGAAAAAGAAACCAGATGGTTAGAAGTAAAGGCCGAACTTAGGTGCTACACTGAGATTTAAAAGCATACCATACATTATGGTAATCACGAGAATCCCTAGGTTTCAGTCCTAAGCTCCAACCTTTGTGGATCTAGTAAGGGCTTCTGTGCCATCTCGAACAGATAAGATAGTTGAAGATCTCACAGTTTGAAACTAACACACTATAAACCTAAAAACAAAAGTGATCCTCAATCTTTTTATTGCTGGAGACACGGATTAGTCTTCAATAATTGGTTAATCACGGCGAGCGGCTCTCTATCCATTATCAGACTAAACCAACTTAGATGTCTTCGCAAGTAAAAGAAAATTTGTCGCTATTTTTGTCCACCAGTTACCAAGGTATCTATCTATACTAAATACTCATACTCGATCCTTAATCAATGTCGCGGGGCAGACGAAGAATGATTGTATATAAAAAAAAAATTCGAGAAAGAATCTCTGCTCCCTCTTCCCTGCATATGCTTCCTTCTTCACCGCTGCCCGTTCTTTCTTCACCGCCAAACAAGGAGTCCCATTCTGCACGGATAGTCATGGTTAGCTAAAAAGGCTCGCCCTTTTATTGGAGCAGCTGCTCTCTAAGTCGCGGAGATATTGTATTTCTTAATAGTTACCTCGTTTCATTCACCACAATGCATTTGTCTTCCTAACTTCATCAATCTTGTCCCCCCGAAGCCTTGCTCTATCAAAACAATTGCAAGAAGAGCCGATCACTAAACCCTTACATAACCATAACATAGGTGGCTTAGTAACCTTTGCATAGAGCCGCACTTGAAAGAAAGGATACATCTGAGCTAATTTAATTGAAATTCTTGTGCGTATCGCATACTTCTTGCTTTCTGCCAGCAACTATAACTGTGTTAAAAACCTAATTTTGTCCTAGTAGACAGCGGAAAAAGTCCTTGATCCACGGAATCATTCCTACTTCTACCGCTAAGTGACCTATCTTAGTAAGCATAAGCACTTTTGGCAACAACTGCTATTGTAGTCATCCGGGCGAGCCATCTACTAAAAAAAGGAGAACTAGGACCTTTCTTTTATAACTTTAGAGCAGTTTGACTAATCTATCTTAACCTCTTACTTTATGCTTTTCTCTCCGTCTAGAATCCTGTCTTTGAATGAAAATGAATGAGTCTCTGAAGCTACCCTCACTCAATGCAAAGAACCCTTCGCCCAATGCTTTCCTGGCTGGAAAGTAGCCCTACTTAGAGCAGACAACTCTTGACTGGCAACGAAATTCGTGGCACTCACTTTCTTGGGCCTTTGATTAATCTTTTGTGGGAGAAGGGTGTTAGTACGAGACAGATGGGGCCACTACTACAAAAAGGGCAAAAAACGACCAGTAAACAACGACGGTAGATCAAAAAACCGTCGTTATTTTTTAAAAGACGACGGTAATAGAAACTCGTCGTAGAAACATACTTTAAACTCCTAAAAAACCGGTACACGCATAGATATTTTTAAACCACGACGCACAAAATTAAAAAAGCGTCGTCTTATTACAAATGTATTTTTCAGAGTTAAAATCAGAACCTAAACACAACGACTGCATCTATGAAATCACCGCCGTAGAAAGTAAAGACGACGATATAAAAATAAGACGCCGTGTTAACTAATTAATAAACACGACCCAATTTTCTTAGTCAGCGATGCATAAATTCAAAGAAATCTACAAAGGTTAATTACAAAAAAATTCGCCGATTTAAATTAAGTTACCACGATTGTAAATATAAATTTATCGACTTTTTAATTATACTATACTACGATGGTACCCATAACTCTACTGTCCGCATAATTGTACTAACCACGATGGTTTGTTAAATTAACGACGTACAAATTTTTTACCATTATTCGTCTATCATTACCAGAATGAACTCTGTTCCTCATCATAATCGAACCAACACACAAAGGCAATGTTTTAGAAGTGGATGATATGCCAATTACTCTCACACCCACAAGGAGTTTGAGGGCAAGAAGCTTGTCTCAGCCACCAAGGAAGGTCTCACGCTTGATGAGAGTGAAGACGAGGCAAAGAAGAAGGAAGAGTTGAAGGAGAAGTTTGAGGGACTCTGCAAGGTTGTGAAGCATGTTTTGGGTGACATAGTGGAGAAGGTTGTGGTGTCTGACCGTGTGGTAGACTCTCCCTGCTGTTTGGTGACAGGCGAGTATGGCTGGACTGCCAACATGGAAAGAATCATGAAGGCTCAGGCCTTGAGGGATAACAGCATGGCTGGGTACATGTCGAGCAAGAAGACCATGGAGATCAACCCAGAGAACCCCATCATGGAGGAGCTGAGAAAGAGGGCTGGTGCAGAAAGACAATTTTTTAGATGATGTGTGCGTGTTTGTGTCTTTCAGATACACAAACGCGCACACACATCAACATCCAAACTGAAAAATGAAAGCGAGGTGAGACAAAGAAGTGATGTGCCTCCAGAGAGGTGAGTCAGAGCCAAGGGCAAGAAGAAGTTGAAACCCTAATTGAAAAATGAAGACGAAAGAAAGACAGAAAAACCCTTATTTATAAACAAATCTTATATACCACGTCGGTGTTTTAAAATATGGTTATATTAAATTATCGACGTTTATATGAAAACATAAACGTCGTTTAAACCTAAAATAAGGTCGTATAAATAAATTAACAACGACGCTATATAAAAAACGACGTTGTCATTTTTTGGAAAACTAATTTATTGTGTAATTAAAAAAGGCACACGTCGGTATAAGTAATTAAAACGACGTGTTATGTATTTTTCACGTCGTTATTATTGAGTATAAGGTCGTTGGGTAAATTTGAAAATGACGTGATTCATCTTTTTGAAGAAAAATGCGTCGTGTAATTCGATATAAAAACGGCGGTTCATTAAAACCTGGCGTCGTGTAAAGTAATAATATAGGGCGGTGTTAACCTATAGCGCCGTATAATGTTGCATACTAGGGCGCATCCTATTAATAGCGTCGTTTTATGAAACTGTCTGTTAATATTTTAAACTTTTCGCCTTCCTAACCCATACTTGCACTGTTTCCAAACCCGAGAAAAACTTTCAAGCTTCTCTCATTTTTCATTCTCAAAGCGCTGTTTCAAACTTTCAAGCTTATCTCCGAGAGAACACTTTTCGTCTTCCTCTCCTCTTCGTCTTCGTCTCTGAACTGAAACACCAAACTCCAGGAGAAAGCTTTCATTGCACGCAAAGGGTAAGCATTTCTGGAAGGATTTTTGTTCCTGTTTTGCATTCGCATATCATTTTCATTTTTTTAAATCTTTTTACATTTTTTCTTTCCAAGTTTGATAAAATTTGCAGACAAAGACGGAAAGTTTCCAAGTTTGAACACTACTCTGATTCTTTTACTTCAACTAAATAAGACGACGGTGACTTGTTATTTACATGATTAGAAATATAGACCACGACGGTTCGTCAGTCACCCTAGCGTCGTGTGAAAGTGTTCTTCGTTGTTTTTTAAAATGATCTTCTTTTTTTGTTTTTGATTTTTAAGGATATATTCATCGCAGGTTTAATTTCTCTAAACAATGGTTTTTGTTTTGAAAATCTTTTTAATTATTTTTCTGTTGAAAATATTTACGTTTTTCCTAATTTGTTTTTCTGTGGTATAGACAATGGTATATTAATATTTACGTCGTTTTAATTTCAATACCATGGCGAATTTTTATTATTAACATCGTTGTAATATTTAATCACGTCAGTGGTTAATTACCGTTAGGAAAATTTATTATTACGTCGATTGTTTTGTTCTTACATCGTTTGAAATATTATAATACGTTGTATTTTATAAATAACCGTCGTGTTTTTTCTTAATTTCACTGAAATATTTTCACTTGCAGGTTTGATTTGTCTGTAATCATGGTTTCTCAACCCCAAAGTAAGGAGTCTGGCTTGAAAAAAAATGAATGTAAGGAGCTTAGAGTTGTAAATCCTCAAGCCAAGTCCTCGAAGAAGATGAAATTTGTTTCATCTGCTGAGACAGAACCAGGCAGCACGACAACATTTTTTGAGGAGCCAAAGTCAGGTCGGGGTATAAGCACAATGCCCCGTGTTGTGAAGAGAAAATTTCAGAAAATCAAGCCTGTTGT